AATTGTATATTTTATGAATAATAAACTTATGATAATCAAGCTTTCGAGCTCATATAAACTAAAATCGTTAATTAATTTGTATATCATTCTTATAATAAGATATAAAGGAATCCCTAATTTACAGATCAAACCATATTTTAACACAGCTATTTTCAAATAATCCATATAAGTAAATATTAATAATAAACAATTAGTGAGCACTTACAAATGTTGATGACTCTCAATTAGTAAAAAGGATTCAAAATATGTTACATAATATAACAAGGACACTATATGAATAACTAATTTTAATCCATATTCTTTAGTGATTAGAAATTGTTAAAAACACCTTACTAAAAGACAAGCCAATTGCAAAATAAAAACAAAATAATTTATTGGCTATGTTAACCATAAAGTATTAGAAACCCACCATATACCTTGAATAAAATTAGCAATAAAAACTGAGTTCAGCCATAACTTTTCCAAGAATTTTCTTAGTTTTTTTTAAAAGTTCATATAGCTGTGATAATAAACTAATATAATTATCAAAATAATTCATGTACATTCCTCTTTTAATTCAAACTAAATTAAAATTTATTTCTAAATATAGAAATAAATTTTACCCCTTTCATTATTTATTTAGTTCCAATCAAACTTCTAACTATTCAAGACAATAATATATAATATACCAATAGATTTATTAATTTGATAAATAGCATAATTCTTATAGATTAAAACAAAAAAACAGAAAAAAATAATTCATCATTTTGTCTTTGTATTAAAAAATTATATATGCTTAAATGTAAAAGAGTATTATATTATACAATAAAATTATTTGAATATTTTGAAATATAAAAGTAATTTTTAAGAATATATACTTAAAATCATAATTGATTTCATAAAATTGGTATCCTATTCATCCAAACCAAACTAAATTATTTATGATAAGCAAAAAGAATTTAATTTTAAGCGTTTTTATCAAAAAAATGCTTAAGTTTTATTTTCATACAAAAACATAAATTTAATTGGAATTACTTAGATTTCTTTCATAATTAATTACTCTAACCGAAATGGAATTTCATTTTTAATGTAAGCTACTATTATTTATTTTTTTTAATATATGTAAATTATCTTATATGTATTAATCCAAAAAGGAACTCAACTCACTATTATTCTACAATATCAATAGTAAGATTATACTTAAAATATTAATCAAATCTAATCCAATCAAACTAAAGTGAATAATTTTATTGACTAAAGTTCTTATTCTATTATGATTATTATATTAATTTAACTTTTTTTAAATTGACTAGCTTCCAATAAGGTAAAAAAATCATAAATTTCACTTAATTTATTGAATGATTACTTCATGATCTTAATTAAGATTATTTTAAATCTCATATTGTATTCAAAAATAACAAAATATTATTAGAAATTAAGAAACTCTCTCTCTTCGTAAAAAAGACTTAATTTCCAAAGATATCTATTTAAGTGTTCTGGTTTTTGTAATAAGATGATAATTTCCATACTTAGTATAATTAAAATGTTTAATTGCTACATCAATAATTCCAAATAATTTTTATCTTCCTTTAAATTCATTAAATATCTCTCACAAGATATATTTTAGGAATTTTTAGAGTATCAGTAATAATCAATTTATTTTTTCTATGAGTTAAATGATCTTCTCTTATTTATATATAAATTTTATGAAAATCTGAAGAGAAAATATTATATAATTTCAAAGAAGTACAAAAACTAACTTATAGATAGGATAAGAAAAGCAATTGAAATTACAAAAATGATAATTATACTATAGAATCAATTGCTGCTTCTTAAGGATTGACTAAATTTCTCAAAACTAAGATTTACAGCAACAAGTTCAAAATACATTAAATATTCTAAGTTGTGGTTTCAAGCAGAGAAATTTATTTTGGCTTGAAGAAACAGCTGAACTAAAAATTAATAAATCGATAATTGTAATAATAATAATGAAATTAGTAAGTACTTTTATTAATAATAATTATCAATCTTGCATTAAACATGAATTCTGAAATTTGGATATATCATATAATGTTAAAGATTATTGAATTAAGCTAAGAATATGAAGTCACACTTAATAATTATTTATTTGGTATGAATTTAATATTGTATATATATGTTAATTATTAATTCTAACAAAATTTTATAATTTCATATTTGAGGAACATTTTCAGAATTTATTGCCCTTTTCAGTAGTATTTATAGAACATCTTTAGAAATACTATTAAATAATGATTTTGCTATTAAACTTTAATAATTCGAATTATCTAAGAATTTAAAATTATAGAAGCATTAAGCCTTCAAAATAAAATTATAAGTATATTTAGGATGAGTTATATTAATTCCTTTTTTAAACTTCTGAAGACTTAATTATTTTTAATAAATACTATTTAAATTATATAATAAATGGGTAATAAAAATATGTAGGAAAAAAATGATAATTAATAACAATTTTAATATGAGAATTTAGAAGGATGCTAAATAACATAAGAAGAAAAGTGTTTTGCTTTAGCGTTTAATCAGAGTTGTTCATGTCTAGTTGCAGGATCTGATTTTAATATTAAAGTATTTAAATTTGATTATGAAACATTGGAACAAACATAACTGCTTATTGGTCATTAAGGTTATATATAAACTTTAAATTTCATGAAATAGACTAATTAAAGATTTATATCTGGAAGCTGTGATAGCTTAATAATAATATGGGAATTAAATATTTTGAGCAGTCTTTGGTACAAGAAATAAACACTGAATTATCACATTCTTTCAATTACTTGCTTAATAATCAACAAAAATGAAGACTTTTTCTTTTCAGGTAGTTGTGATAAAACAATTAAGCTATAAGTTATGAATCATAATTAAGAATGGGTTTGTAAATAAAGTATAATTGAACATTCTAGTTATATTAATGGATTAAGTTTAAATAACGATTAAAATAAATTAATTACATGTGGTTAAGATTAGAAAATATTGATTATATAAAATATTGATGATAATTGGATTGTAATCTAAAAAATAGAATAATATGGATTAAGATTGTGCTTTATTTTTGATGACTTCTTTACTTTTTAACCTAATGGCAATTTTATGTATACTTATTAATTGGAATCAAATTAATAAATTGTTAATTATAAGTAAAGAAAAATAAATTTAAAACGTGGAGGTTGTGTTTGCACTATTCTTTTTCCTTAATATTTTATATAATCGAAATCGCTTTTGGTCAACAAAAATGGAGGATATGTTCATTTCGTGAAAATATTAGATTAAAATAGATATTAAAAGATGTAAACAATAAATTTTGGGACATATTAAGTCTTCGGAGAAATTAGTTCAGATGGTTAATATTTTGTTTCTTGGGACGATTTATCAAATCAAATTTAAATTAAAAAATATATTGAATATTGAATTTCATTATTTTTAATATAAAATAAGAAAGATCATATTTTAACTATTATTATTTATGAAAATACAAATCTTTTATTTATTGAATTTTTCAATATTTAATTTATGTTTTTATTTTAAATAATTTTTGTTCTAAATTTAATTGTTCTTTAATTTGATAATTTTATAATATCGAAGAATTATATAGTAAAAATTACACTATTCTTCACTAATGGTATGAAATTGCTTGATTTTTCATTACTTAATTCAAAAAGGTCCATCTGTCAATCGTTATATTATTCCAATCTATACCCTTCCGATTGATTTAGCTTATTCAAATCAAAAGTATGAATTAATAAATATTCAATATTAAGTCTTCACTCATATCAACCTATATTTCTTATTTAATTACAATATGAAAATAAGCTTTATAGAATTTACATCTTTAATATTTTTTATTAATTAAAAGTAGTAAAGTAATTAGATTTAATTAATAACATTTTAACTTTTAGATTTACTTCCTCCATTAGCATTCATTTATTTCAATATATTAGATTTTGTGTTTTTAATAGCCATATTTCATTTCAATATTGAAGATAAAACAATAAAAAATGAACTTATTCTTTCAAAATATAGTGTAATTATATTGCAAACCAAAGAAATTGTAAGGAAGATTATCAAACAGAATTTTTGATAAAACATTTTCTAGAATCTTAAAATCTTTATGATTTCATTAGAAAATACTATAAATATGATTTAAAGTATTTCATCGAAAGTATTAATCTGTACTAAGTTATTTTTACATTTGAATTAGATAAAGCTGTATATTTTATTCAAAATCCTATTAATTTCAAATAACATTTTATTTAATGAATATGACAACCTTTTCTAATTCAATTTGAATATAAATTTGTTAAATATATTTTGGATAGTCATGAAAAAAAAGAAATAGAAATAAATGAACAACATAAATTGTACTTCATTTAATTACAGAAATTATGAAATCTTTTCAGCCTGAAATTAAAATGTCATCAAACGAATCAAGTAAAAAAAAAGAGGAATAAAATAAATTAAACAATTAATAATAGATTTAGAAAATATGAAAAATAAATGAAAGAATTTTTTATTTGTGTGTATTTTATCATCACTTAAAATAACATTTATATGGAATGATCAGATGTCTTACAATTAGATTTATATTAACGATCATATAAATATTCTGGAATATCAACTCTTGAAAGATCATTAGAAAGGCTCAATCAATTTTTAGATTATTTGTTAAGAAATTCAAAATAATTATGAAAAGCCTTAGAAAAAGAGAATTTAATTATTAATATCGTATTATGAATAATTGATGAAGATATTTTGATAATGATTAGCATTTATAAGGATATTACTAAAACATTAAATATTTAGTCCTCATTTGTAATTATTTAAGTTCATTAAATGGACCAATATTGAATTGTAATGTTTTCTCAAAATTTAAGGTCCAAAATTTCTACATTTAATATTGATCCATGTTATAATGAATTAAACAGAAATAGTCTTAAATCTTTATTGTTTAAGTATTATCCAAAATTGACAGGATGTTCAATTCAATTTCAAGATTGAGCTTCATTAATAAAAATAGAATACTTGTTTAATTAAATGATAAGTTTTTCAGTGTTTCAAATTAGGGCTTTTGGACAATCTGCTAAGAAGATTTTAAACAATCTGCTAAGAAGATTTTAAACAATCTGCTCAGAAGATTTTAAACGATCTCCTTTTGAAACTTTAATTTCTTTGAAAGCACCTTTCATATTAATTTGTCAATAGATTCTATTAGAGTTTGGCTTCGATAAATAAAAATAATACTCTTATTTGAAGACCAATTTTTGGTATCTCCTACTTTTTAATAAATAAATAAAAAATATTCAAATCTTTTTTCATTGCATTAAAATATGAATTCATAATTAATTATAAACATATATTATCCGTATTTCTATTAAGATTATAATTTTTTTTTTCCTTAATTAATTATATCTCTCTGATTTCTAAATAATATGTCCAATATGATTATTTTCAACTACTATTATACAATTACTGATGATTATGACAAAATTTTATTCTAAATTTTTCCTCTTTATTACCCAAAAATATTCAAAATAGATTTCTTATAAATGCGAATAAAATAAATTAAATTGATTCTACATTTTTTATTTATTTGCTACTTTAATTAGAATTTTCCAAAAAGAAAATGCTTATTAATAATTTTCACAATACTAAAGTAAATATTGAAAATATTAAATGTATTAATAATTTTATAAAATACCTCAAGTTTATAATTCAAAAATATCATATTCTTCATCGATTTAATTTTTAAATAAACTTTATTATAAATTAGATTACATAACTATTTATGTACTTTTTAGAATTATTGATTTGTATTAAAGGAGATATTAGAGATTATAATAAAATATATTAATTTTCTATATAATATGAATTCATATTATTAGAATATGAATCAAAATTATCAATATTACATCCAACCAATTCTTATATTAGATATTTGTTAATTCTTTTAAGATTTAAAAATTGTATAATTAAACTTTTTATA